TTTTTTTTTTTTTTTAAGAAAGCTGGAAGGTGTGTCCAGCTCATCCATTCATGTCACCCGGCCCTCAAAGTGACAGACGCAACCAACAATAAGGGCAGCCCCAAGAGTCCGAGCTTTGGCAAGGGGAGGGGAGGAGGTGGGCGTGGAGGCGACGTGCACCGGGAGTCGCCAGGCCCCCTCTCGGGCTGTGCTCGGGAGCAGCCCTGGAGCGGGAGTTGCCCCTGGGGCAGGAAGTCGCGTGCAGCCAGCTAGGAGCGCCCTGGTCTGTGTCCGCTCTGTGTTCCACCTGTTGGCTCTCCAGTGTTGATGTCGCTTCTTCAGGAGCCAAGGGACATCCAGGGAAAGTAAACGGAGCTGGTCGTGTCTGGAAAGGCTAGTTATCAGAAAATGTCACAGGTGTTACAGAGACTGTTGCGGCAGTGCAGCTGAAAAGTTACCTTTAAAGAGTGGGTGGTTTTCGTATTTTTTTAAGGGTGTGAATCCTGAGAAAGAAAATAACCTAGTAAGAAGGGCTCTTAGTGGCTTAACTGGGCTCATTAAAAAACAAAACAAAAAACAGAGCTTAGCAGCCAATTGTAAACAAAACCGCACCTTAGTGTAAAGTCAGCACTGAATGGCCTGCGTAACAGTACCCTGCCGCCTGAGCCAACCCTTATAAAGGAGTCTCGGGAATTGTATTTCAACCAATAGGAGTGAGACTTAACCTGTCCAATCAGAGCTGCACAGCTATATTTTATTAGCATTTTCACTGACCAATCAGAGTGGCTCCATTCTGACCAATCAGTACGGTGCCTTTTGGACCAATCAAAGTGTGAAGATGTGGAGGCCAGACCAATCAAGAAGGGGGGGGGTCAGCGCTTTTTCTCTATATAAGTCCCCTCCTCCCGGGCACGGAGGGCGCCTTTTCCCTTCCCGCTGAGGGCTGCTTCCGTGGCTGGAGTCGAGGCACCGGAGGTGTTTTGCCAGAGCAGCGGGCAGCCGTGCAGCCAGCGCGGGACCTCGCCGCAGGGCCTCCTGACGGCTGTGCTGGTCCACAGCCATGCCGTGTCGTAATGGAGCTGCACCACGAACTAGGCACGGAGCTGCGCTGTGTCCCAGCTGAGATGCGCGCCGGCTTAAGCTTCCTCCGTCGCACCCAAATTGGGGCGTCCTGTTGGTGTCGAATTGGCACCAGTGACCATTGGTTGACAAGGGTAAAGGAAACAACTTTCTCTTGCAGAACTTTTAAGAAATTTAAGTAATTCGTTTCCAGTTACTCTTTAATGAGATTTGATTTCGTGTGCTGGATTGGGGGGGGAGGGGCCTTTGATTTCAGAGTTCACACTGAGCCTCAACCACTGTTTTCAAGCCGCTGCTCACCCTCATCCCCATCCTGAGCTGTGCCAATATTCCGGTACATCTGGGGCCTCTTCAGTTAAGTTTCACAGGGGACACTTTGAAGGCCGAGGGCAGGCAAGAGTCTCCCGGCTGTGGGGAAGGGAAATACTGGTGGTTTCAACCATTCGGTGTTTATACGCCCAACCCCTGTCTTCCAGAGGCTGTATCTTCCTCCACTGGAAGCCAGTTGATGTCTTCCACTTTCTGTTGTTTTTCCCTGCCTTCTCTTACACTTGTTCTCCGCCAGTGTCCTGTCAGGATTTCTTTGTGGCTTCTTAACCTTTTTTACTTATTTACTGTCACTTAAAAGAGTCTAGAAAAAGAAGGCAGATAAGCAAATTGGTCAGCTGGCCATGTTAAATAGGAAGCCCCCTGTAATGGCTTTTTTTTTTACAAATTAAATTCAAATCCTTTCATCCCCTACTTCCCTCAGACTCCTTTGGTCATTTTCTTACCCGTGGCCTTAACCTTTCTTACCCTTTGACAATACCTGCCAGGCCCTAAAGGCATCTGAGTCTTCCACCCTGTGCTCCAACCCATGCTCCAGTTCTATCACTCAAGTGCTCCCGGGCTTAACAGAATGGGTGTTCTGTGTATCCATGGCAGTTTCATCTCTCTGTCTTCCAGCCCCATGGGAGCCAGCTGTAGGAACAACTGGCATGGAGTATGGTTACATGAAGGACTCTTCCAAAAGAAATCCTACCCTTGCACTCAAAAATACATAGTATTTTTAAATACTTGTCAATATAAAAGTTTCTTTCTCCATAATAAATATATATATACATATTTGATTTAGGAATCACTCTGAAAGAGATAATCTAACAAATTTTGATCTAGAAAAGGAGTTGGTTAAATGGCAAATAAAGGATGTGGGTCCAAAACCTGGGAAGAAAAGCCACCAACAAGTTCTCCCAACTGAACATGGTTGGGTCCTCCTTCACAGAGAGACATGAATGAGAACACTGAGTTACTTTTTTCCCCCCTAGAAGTATGGCTATATTTTCATTATTAACAGCCTGCTAAATAGAGACAGGACAGGTGAAAAAATTGTGTGTGTGTGTGTGTGTATAATACTAAAATTTCTTTTAGCCACAAGGCAACTTTAAATCTCCTAATTTTGGAAACTGTGTCTATTAGTGAAGTGTTAAAGCTGTGACTTCTCTGTCAATTAACACTTTCCATTGCCACTCTGCTGTGCAAATTTAGGCGAATTTATTTAGAATAAGTTTTTTATTGTTGACAGGATTACAGATGTCCCCCATTTAAAGGCTGTCTGCAATGTTTCAGGCCACGTGTATAATTTTTCTCTTTACCCTAAGAATAACTTGGCCCCTAGCTTCAATTTTCTTAAAAGCCGGCTGGAATTTCGAGGCTATTGAGATAAATTTCCTTTTAAAAATTCACATGTCTGAAGATCCACCCTCCCCGTGTGCTGCGAAGTGGGCGGGAAGTTATTTGCAAGGCTGGTGTGTATTAATCTTGTTAATTCACCTATTGAGTTAGTCAACAGACCTTTACTGAGTGTTAAATACTTACTGAGCACTTGTGGTGGTCCTGGGAAGGTACAGGGAGAAGAAAGGTCTGGCTTTCTCTGGGCCTTGCCTTGGAGGCATTCACAACCAAGTGAGGGAGAAAAGCAAGTAACACGTGAGAACAGGCTTGTACTTTGGAAGGAACAGTGTGAGAAAACTTCCAGAGGAAGTCTCCCCTAAACTGAGTCTTCAGATGTGAACAGTGGTTAGTGACGATATGTAGTAGTAATCTTTGCGATTCGCAAGGAAAAGAGGTATTACATCATCCCTGCCATCCCCTTATCAGAGCCACCATTTATCCAGTGTTTACAGTCATCCAGGTATAGTACTAAACACTTCATTAATATTAACTTGTTAATCTTCATAATAATCCTAAAAGGTCAGTACTGTTATTGTGCCAGTGTTACTGCTGGGGCACAGAGAATTTAAGTAACTTTCCTAAAGCTACGCAATGTTCAGAATGATTAGATGGAGGTACAGTCCAAGGCCAGATGGCTCCAAAGCCTTGGAACCTTTAAGTTCCAAGGGGATAAATGTTGCAATGGTTGAATCTATAGGACTGAATGATGCAAGTTTTCAACAGGGGGTGACCTTTCCCTCCCCAGTTGGCCTCTCTAACCACTGAGCCAAACCGGCTAGGGCGGCAAGAGCCTTTTCATTGGGAGCAAAAGAGGCAGAAACCAGTTTGTGGATAATGGAAGATCAATAGAAGATAAAGGAGTGGGGAAGCAGAGGTTGAAGAAACATAGAAGAA